AAAAATACAGAAATAGTCGTTTATATGAACATATGGCATTGCTTACACGTTTCGACAATCTGCCGGATCTAGTATTAATTGAGCTCTTCTCATATCTCTCATCGACTGATATACTATGGGGATTTACTCATCTTAATCATCGTCTAACAATGTTAATAACTGAACAAGGCTTTTTTTATCACATTAACTTATCACTTGCACATTATCATCAATTTAATACAATTCTTTCTTTTCTTCCGTTGAATAATGTTCAATCACTTTCAATTGATAGTGATGCATCTCCACTCCAACTAACTCATTGGCCTTATTTACCTTGTTTGAGAACTTTGCGTATCATTGGTGCACACGATCTTGATCACCTTTTGCTCTTTGTTTTGCTTCATGCAGCAACACTCACTCATCTTATCATCAAATCAAATGAAAAAATCTTTCCGGTAAGTATTAAAGATCGCTTTTTAATACATGTAGAACTATAGGAACAAGCGAAAGCATTTAAATTACAATTGAAAATGCGATACAGTTCTGTCTTGAAATTTTTTACAGTTTTTCTAAAAAATAGAAATTATTGGTTTGTATGAATAGAGTGTAAAAGATGAAGTATTGTCATTATATCAAACTTTCGAATCAATCAAAACTTGAATCGAATAAAGTTATACTAGGAGTAGCAAGAAACGATAGATTCGTTCTTCCGTTAGATATAACTAAGAATGAAATAACTTTTTTGCAAAAGAAATTTCTATAAAAATACAGTCAAATTTCGTTCAACAGAGATTGTTGAATTCAATAAAATGAAGAATAAAAAAAATATCGAGTTCAATACTTTCAAAGGCTATGTAATATTCGAATCCACGTCTAATTCAATCAAGCATTTGACTAAAAACAAATGTAGAACTTATTCATGTAACTGAAATATTAAAGCTTATCCTTTTGTTAATATTTTCAAATATAAAATAGGTTTTTTCATTCGGTACGAGAGACCACCTTTTTCAAACAACCATACGGAATTATTTGACTTTTCATTGAGAAAAAGAAAATAGAACTGATCCGTTCATCAAAGATCATATCACATTCTATGATACATTCCAATAATCATCAATACAAAGTTTATGATAATAAAAGAACATATGATTATATAATGAACAGGTCGGAACCGATGAGATTTTATTGGAATTTCTATAAGATCGACGAAAACCTATGGAAATTTGGGTTGTGAAACGGTATCCGGATCCCTAGTGTTGAGGGTGTATCGGATGCTACTATCGGAATCCGATAGTAGCTCATCGTAGAACTATGATCAATCTCTAGCATTGGGATAAAATGCTAATTAGCACTCAATTAAGAAAATAGGTTTTACTCGTTAGATTCATCAGTGGATCCGTGACCCAGATTCCCATAGGATTTTGTCGGCTGTTTGGATCCGATCGGATTCATTCACTTGAGATGTTTAATTCAGTTGGCGTCAGCTTTGATTTTTTATTTTATGATTATTTAAACATGGTTTCTTTTTTAGGATGGTCTCTGGATGGAGTATAAACTCCCGGTAAATGACATAATGAACTTAGCGCATAATATTCTTCTTATTCATTTACCTGCACTTCGATATCTTGACTTTGGTTTGAATTATTACTGGATGGGATGGCCCATTACTGTACATGTTCCCCTTACCTATCTACGTGCAGCTTTAACGTCTATGGATTATTTAGTTCGTATTATGTCGACGTCACAACTCTCCTCTTCATTATGTCAATTACATGTCACGATTGATGATGGTAACTACGACAATTATTGTGCTGCAACAACATCGGATCAACTGATTCCAATGGTTAATTTACATACATTTACTTTTTTTAAAGCATTTTTCTCGAGATTAATAATTAGATGGACATTGATCGAAATTCTGACATCATTCAATGTCATGCCTGTCCTTCAACGTGCTAATATGTCTCTTTTTATTAATATTGATGAATTAAATCGTATTAGTTCATCACCACTATTCACTGATCATCGTCATGTTAATGTTCATTTTGCCTTTAGTCTCATTAATTGTTCTCAATATCTCGAAGTGACTCAATATATACCACGTGGTAATCGTTTTCATCCACGAGAAATAGTCGGTGCAACATTTGTTGTTAATCACTGGTCTCAAAAATCGGAATGGCTCATTGATGGCGATCCTTTTGTAAGTTATTCGATAATCTAAGTTTTGTCTAATAATACATTTATATATTCTTTAAATTTATAGTGTCGTGGTGATCAATATTATCATCATATGTGGTATACTCTTCCATGGGCATTTGATGAATTCTTTCACGAATATATTCCACATTGTAGGATTACTAAAATACAAGTGTTTGAAATACCTTCTAGAAATATTATACCAATTGGTCAATCATTTCTTCGTTCACTCAATACATCAGGACCAACTTTACCATCATCTATATTCTATTTACCTCATGTGGCATTATCTAATGGTATTGAAACGTTGCACTTGTCCTTTTATAATACAAGTATTTGTATAAATTTACCTGTACTTCGGCATATGACTTTTGTGAATAGTATTAGTTGTTTGAACTGTTATTCTTCATTTCCAATAACTATTCGTTCTATTCATATTCTGGTTTTTTATACATTTCCTTTCTATATGCTACCAAATTGGTCGGCGCTTTCACATTTACGTTCAACATTGCCACAATTGAGTTCGTTACGAATATCTTTGTATGACTTACCAAAAACTATCGATGATAAAAATTGTGAAATAATCGCAAAGACAACATCATTGTTCAGGGATTTTGGTTTTTATTTTCGACGAAGATTCAATTTATCAACTGATGATGACTTCCCTTCTGTGTTCGATGATCATAGAAAATTTATTAAACAATTATCTTCTTGTATTCTTTTGTTGTCCCATGACAAACAACCTTATTATTCCATTGAGAAGGAGGGTTATGGACTCACGACGTGGTTTTAATTAATAAATAAATCTGACAAAAAACATTTTCTATTCTGATGAATGTAATCGAATAGGTTTTGTTAATAAATATTACAGAGGTAGAACAAGTATCGCAAGTTGAAGTATTCTACTTGTATTTTAAAAAATGTACTTGATACTTTGCCTATACCTTAAAAGGATACTTTTTTTTGCCTCTACTTAAGTACGAAAAACAATGCTTTGTCTTGGAGGTATAGATAAAATAAATTTCGTCTATAAGGTCAATTAGCTGTGATAAGTGTTTAAAAACTATCCTAACATCATCTAATAGAAAAATGACAATAAAAATGTCTTAATAAAAAGTTTTACTCAAATACGCTGATAACTTTATCATATGTCTCTTGCAAAAACCGTCTATTTTCATTGTTCAAATTTCTTTAAAATTATGATGGCATCTCAAAATGATAATGCCCGTTTGATTTAGTGCCATGACAAAATATAGTACTTCACAAGATTGAGAAAAATATACAGGAATTCAGATTTGTTGTTTATAATCTAAGACAAATTATTTGGCTGTGCTTTTGAATTACCAATAGAACTTTTAGAATATTGTCTGGAGAAGTTTTAACACTGAATTTTGATGAAAGATCCTCAAATATATCTTCGACGTTCGTGACAATTAACGTTAGAATGAGTATTTCTTTCTAATAATAATGTACCTGAAATGACGAAATTTGTTAGATCTGTTTTCATATATGACTAATATTTTCAAAAAACGTACTGCATTGCGGATGAAAATCTGCTGTAACAGAACCATTACGAAGTCATGAAAATAGTCATCTGATTTATATGTTAATTTTTTCCAAATTGAATACCTTTTATTCCTATTGAAATATGTGAAAATAGCAGAAAAGTAATATAAAAGTCTTTTTCCATCACATAAATTTAAAAAATTTTTTATTTAAATAACTTTTATTTAGACAATTTTTTCTCTAAATTATTTCTTTGTGTTTTTGTTAAATTTGAGCAGTCGATGTGGGAAAATTTGTCCTTTTGAAGACCACAGTCGAAATCTAAATGGTAATGCTGCAATAGAAAAAGAATTTATCAATAGCATTCAAATCACCATTCAAAGAAATTAATGAAACTTACGTAACGGCTGCTCCAACTGAGAACACATGGTGATCGCATATAAATTGTTACGTTGTTCGGTTTTGTTTGCCGACATTGTTCACATTTTTGTTCTTTAGAATATGTCATTATTATTCCTATGATAAATTTTTATGAATCATTATATTGATAAACTATATTATTGATTACCTTTTTCTTTTCCATTAGGATTGACAATATCTCCGAACGCATTAAAAGTATATGAGTGATGATTTGGTGCACTTTTTAAATTATTAGAATCTGAATAAGCACTATCTGCACCATCAATTAAACTAGGTCGACATGAACTCATAATAGTTGTTTCAAGATTTGGTGCATCTTTTAAACTAATAAAACCTGAATCAACACCACTAACATCACTAGTTAAATTATGTTCATGTGAACTCATAATACTTAATCGAAGATTTGGTGTACTTTTTAAATTATGAAGACCTGAATAAGCATCGTTAGCATCATCACTTAAACCACGTGTACTTGAACTCATAACAGTTGTTGTTTGAGTTTTTGTAGCATTTTCATAACCTAAATCATCATTATAAATATTATCAGTTAAGTCAAGTTCACGTGCATTAACAGAATCAAGTTGATTAATACCTTTATTTCGATTATTATTAAGATTGGCATTGATGAAATCACTTGTACCTTCATTCGTACGACTAACTTTATAAGGAAGATGACAATCGGTACCAGAAAAAGCACCTACACGTTTACGTTTATTTATATCAACACCTCCATAAATTTCAGGAATTGTTTTTGTTGTTTTGTGAACTGTTGATGATGAATATATCTGATCAATAAATTCTATATTTTCTAAAATAATAAAAAAGTGAATGTATAAATAAGACAACTATTTCTTTTAACAACACTCATTATGAATAAGAGGAAGCCGAAAGTGTGTCTACTCACTCATGTTTATAGAAAAATTATCATCAATGATGCACGATGCTTGTAAATCATGTAGTTCTTTATGAAGACTTCGATCTTTTTCAAATATTTTAAAGTATGAAACTGAATGTTTTAATGCAATTAAGACCAACAGAAATGCCATCTGAAAAAAAGATTGATAAGTTCTAATCGAATAAAACAATATTAAACTCACTTTGTGTAAAAAATATTTGTCATTTGACAATAAATCATCATTGTTTAATTGTATTGGAAAGAACATATTAGCTATAAATAATAGGAGAAAAAAAAGAAAATAGATCAATTGGTATGAGCGGTGCATACTTGAAATATAACCTAATATGAAGGTGAAAATTCCATTTCTATCAAGTTCACCTGGAATTGAAGATCGTAAGGATGAATTTTTTGTATTCTCTCTTGATAATTAAAGAAAAAAATTTAATTGTCTATTTTGTATAATAAACTTACAATTCCTTTATAAATTTCAACAAATGTTTACCATCAACAAGTTCATCGATACATTTTGTTGTATCACCAATAATTGAGTTGATCTGAAAAACGGACGAAAACATCGAAAATAGTAAAGCGAGCTTTACTTACAGCAAATAAAATTAGATTTGTCTTAACAATCATGATAAATTTTGTAACAAATAAAATGAATAATCACGTTCACTGAAAATCTAAAATAGGCAATGCATTGATACTTTGGTTTAGAATATGATCGATATAAAGATTATGAAAGTTCGTTCGAAGAGATGAAAATTAAGCAAGAATAGTATTTTATGATTAAACACGAAATATCATTTTTCAAGTTGAAAGAGCTTGTATACCCAGGTCCAAAAATCCGACGACGGATCCGATCGGACCCGAAACCCGACAAAAATCCGATCGGAATCCGGGTTACAGAATTCCGATCGGATCCGACAATCGGATACTCATACGTTTCCGATAATTTCCGATTGTCGAAATCCCCATTTATTCCGACGGTCGGATACCCATCGGATTTCTATAGGATTATATCAATCTTTCAACCGAGGTCCAACAAATCCGACAAAAATCCGATCGGAATCCGGCTTGCAGAATTTCGATCGGATCCGACAATCGCATACTCATACGCTTCCGATAACTTCCGATTGTTGAAATCCCCATTTATTCCGACGGTCGGATACCGATCGGATTTCTATAGGATTCCATCAATCTTTGAATCTGTGGTCGATTTTATTTATTATGATAATGTTTGGAATCTAAATTTTACCTTATGTGAGCCGGAAAGTTTCATGATTTATAGCCACTGAAACGTAGTGTGTTTAATATAGGTTTTGGATTAAGGTGCAGCAGAATAGTTATTTTTTCTAGTATATAATGCCTTGATCAAGGAACTTATAAAATGCGGCTACCCGCGAGAAAGCTTGTTGACCTGATAACAACAAACTGTCTGTTTTCAACATGAGCACACAGGTTTCTATGAAGTACGAACTAAAAGAAGTGCTGAAGTACAGAAGTAGTAAGTTCGATTCTATGTTTCTGCCCAATTGACCAAAATATACACTAAAACAACATGTCGTTATCCGTTGTGACAAAAATCGTTTCAAACGTAGAATCTTTTCAGTATATTCATAAATTCATAAAACAGAAAATTTTTAGTTTCGAAACTGTTTAAAAAGGTCTGAATATGATACTGAATTCAGTTAAATTATTTCATTTCTCGAAATGGCAACAAATGTATACCTAGATATCTCCATTCGAGCTTAGGACTGATATAAGTTACTATCCTATTGGATCACATCGGATTTTGAAAATTCAGTTCTGGAAATGAGCAAATATGCCTACCTTCATATCTCGCTTGGAGCTTATCATTAATATAAGTTTCTACCATTTGGATCCGATGGGGATTTTGAAAACTGAGTTCTGGAAATGGCAAAAATGTACATCTACGTATCTCCATTCGAGCTTAGCACTGCTATAAGCTTCTATCCTATAGAATCCGATCGGATTTTGAAAATTGAGTTTTCGAAATGCCGAAAAATCCAAACTTCCATATCACCATTGGACTTTATCTTTGATATAGGTTTCCACCCTATAGGATCCGATCGGACCTTGAAAATTCAGATCTGGAAATGGCCAAAAAGGCGTACCTATATATTTCAATTGGAGCTTAGCATTAATATAAGTTTCTACCCTATAGGATCCGATCAGATTTTGAAAATTAAGTTCTCGAAGTGATCAAAAAGCCATACCTACATATAACTATTAAAGCTAAGCATTCATACAAGTATCTATCCTATAGGATCCTATCGGATTTTGAAAATTGAGTCCTGGAAGTGATGAAAAAGGCATATTCACATATCTCCATTGGAGCTTACCATTGATATAAGCTTCTATCCTATAGGATCCGATAGGATTTTGAAAATTAAGTCTGGAAGTGGTCAAAAGGCATACCTAATATAACTATTAAAGCTAAGCATTGATGTAAGTGTGTATCCTATAGGATCCGATCGGATTTTGAAAATTGAATCCTGGAAGTGATGAAAAAGGCATACCCATATATTTCCATTGGAGCTTACCATTCATATAAGCTTGTATCCTATAGTATCCGATCGGATTTTGAAAATTAAATCCGAAAGCGGTCAAAAGGCATACCTACATATAACTATTAAAGCTAAGCATTCATATAAGTATGTATCTTATAGGATCCGACCGGATTTTGAAAATTCAGTTCTGGAACTGGACAAAAAGGCGTACCTATATATTTCAATTGAAGCTTAGCATTAATGTAAGCTTCTATCCTATAGGATCCGATCGGATTTTGAAAATTCAGTTCTGGAACTAGCTAAAAAGGCATACCTATCTAGCTGTATTCCAGCTTGCCATTCATATAAGTTTCTATCCTATAGGATCCACTCGGATTTTGAAAATTGAGTTTTCGAAATGCCGAAAAATCCAAACTTCCATATCACCATTGCACTTTATCATTGATATAGGTTTCTACTCTATAGGATCTCATCGGATTTTGAAAATGCCCAAAAAGGCGTACCTATATATTACAATTGAAGCTTAGCATTAATGTAAGTTTCTATCCTATAGGATCCGATCGGACACTGAGAACTGAGTTCTGAAATGGCCCAAAAGCCATACCTACATACTTCTCTTCACGGTTAGCATTCATATAAGTTTCTATCCTATAGGATCCGATCGGATTTTGAAAATTGAGTTTTCGAAATGCCGAAAAATCCAAACTTATATATCACCATTGGAATTTACCATTGATATAACTTTCTATCCTATAGGATCCTATCGGATTTTGAAAATTGAGTTCTGGAAATGGCTAAAAAGGCGTACTTCTATATCTCCATTAGAGCGTAGCATTAATATAAGTTTCTACCCTATAGGATCCGATCAGATTTTGAAAATTAAGTTCTCGAAGTGATCAAAAAGCCATACCTACATATAACTATTAAAGCTAAGCATCGATATAAGTATCTATCCTACAGGATCCGATTGGATTCTGAAAACTGAGTTCTGCAAATGGCCGAAAAGGTATACCTACATATCTGTATTCAATCTTAGCATTGATCTAAGTTTCTATCCGATCGGATTTTGAAAATTGACTTCTGGAACTGGCCAAAAATGTATACCTACATATCTCGATTGGAACCAAGCATTGATATAACTATCTATGCTGTAGGATCCTACCCGATTTTGAAAATTGAGTCCTGGAAGTGATGAAAAAGGCATATCTACATATCTCTATTGGAGCTTACCATTCGTATAAGCTTGTGTCCTATAGGATCCGCTCGGATTTTGAAAATTAAATCTGGAAGTGGTCAAAAGGCATACCTACATATAACTATTAAAGCTAAGCATTCATATAAGTATGTATCTTATAGGATCCGATCGGATTTTGAAAATTCAGTTTTGGAAATGGCCAAAAAGGCGTACCTATATATTTCAATTGAAGCTTAGCATTAATGTAAGCTTCTATCCTATAGGATCCGACCGGATTCTGAAAATTGACTTCTGGAAAAGCCAAAAAGGCATACCTATATATCGGTATTTCAGCTTACCATTCATATTAGTTTCTATCCTGTAGGATCCGACCGGATTTTGAAAATTCAGTTTTGGAAATGGTCCAAAAGCCATACCTACATACTTCTCTTCAAGGTTAGCATTGATATAAGTTTCTATCCTATAGGATCCGATCGGATTCTGAGAATTGACTTCTGGAAAAGGCCAAAAATGCATACCTACATACTTCTATTCAAGGTTAGCATTGATATAAGTTTCTATCCTATAGGATCCGATCGGATTTTGAAAATTAAGTGCTGAAAATGCCGAAAATGGCATACTTATATATCTCCATTAGAGCTTACCATTGATATAAGTTTCTATCCTATAGAATCGGATCGGATTTTAAAAATTCACTTCTGGAAATGGCCCAAAATTCATACCTACATATCTGCATTGAAACTTATCATTGATATAACTTTCTATCCTATAGGATCCGATCGGATTTTGAAAATTGAGTTCTAGAAATTGTCAAAAGTGTGTCTCTACATATCTCGCTTGGAGCTCATTGTTGATATAAATTTTTGTCCGATCAGATCCAATGAGATTTTGAAAATTGAATTCTGGAAATAGTCAAAAATACATACCACTATGTCGCGATTGAAGGCCATCGTTGATATAAGTTTTTATCTTATCGGATCCGATGGGATTTTGAAAATTGAGTTCTGGAAATGGCGAATAATACATATTTATATCACACATTGTAGCTTAGCATTGATATAATTTTCTAT